ACTTGTTTTCCATCGTATTACGTTTTCGAACCCACATTGTCGTTTTCTCTGTGGATGGTTCGAAAATGTACAGGCAAATTCTTATAGATCCGCCCCAAACGCGGTACCAACGAATCTTCTGGCGTGGTAGTCCATCAGAAGCGCTACCAGTTCTGGAGTTGCTGACCGTTACTTATGGGACTTCGGCAGCTTCCTTCCTTCCAGTTAGCTCGTGATGAGATAGCTAATCATCCAGAAGCGGCCGAGGTAATCTTGTACGACTCGTATATGGATGACATTCTATCTGGCGCAGAAACAGTTGACCTAGCCAAGAAGCTACGTCAGGACCTCGAAAAATTAATGCTGAAGGGTGGATTTCCGGTGAAAAAGTGGTGCTCCAATTCGGAGGAAGTACTAGATGGAATTCCTGTGGGCCTGCAGTGTAGGATGGGATGATCCGCTTCATGGTGAGATTTTTCACCGATGGGAAGAGTTCCAGACATCCTTAGATGAACTGAGCAACATAGAGATTCCGAGGTGTGTCGTGATTCCAGAACCAGAAGCCATAGAGGCTCATGGATTCGCCGATGCTTCCCAGGCAGCATACGGAGCTTGTCTGTACCATACCATTGTCTGTGCATTCGACAAAATGGATCAGCTGCATCTCACCTCCTGTGCAGCAAATCCAAAGTAGCCCCACTCCGTGCGATGACCATTCCAAGATTGGAGTTGAGTGCCGCCTTATTACTTGCCAGGTTGGTAGAAAGGGTGGTTCCGATGATACCAATCAGAACCCAGCAGATATTGTATCTCGAGGAATGAAACCAGTCCAATTGAAGAAGTGCGACCTAAGGTGGAATGGATCACCCTTCCTTACTGTAGCTGACTATGTGACGGAGCAGATTGAAGAACTTTCAGAACATGAGATTCCTGAGCTGAAAGAGACAGCTGTCGCCAACCCAGTTGTTTAGAAATCCTGTGATCCTGTGCTCGAACGGTTCAGTTCATTTAACAACCTCCAACGTGTTTTGGCACACGCGGTACGATTCCTGTGTTTAGTCCGAGCTCCTCGGGAGAATAGGAAGCCATTCAATACATTAACCGTTCAGTTCAGGATATGCGTCTGGAAATCTTGGACGGTGGTTACATTCCTTATGTTTCTTCTAGTGTTTCTTTGAGAGCGTGGTTTAAAGGCTTGGACTTAAATCGTGACTTCATTCGCGTGATGTGACTTATGTCCAACCACTACTCGTTAGATGCGCATCTCCATAGAACAAACCTCGTGGACAGCAACATCTGTCGGTGTGGAAACGGTTACGATGACATCGATTACGCAGTTTGGCAATGTACAGATAATGACGCCGCCAGTGTGCGACTTTTGAATACCCTCGAGGCCCAAGGAAGACAACCCTATATCCCTATCAGAGACGTATTGGGAATCCGCGATCTCTGCTACATGCAGTCAATTTATGTGTTTCTGCAAATGTCTAGTATAAGAATGTAGTAGCTTTGTCTATTGTCTCTCTTTATTCGGTTTTTGTTTGTCTTTTCCCCCCGTCTCGATGAGTCTTATCGTCGCCCACTAGCCGGTCGAAGTCCACACAAAGCTATACCTGCACGCAGAGTTGGTTGGAAATGCTATCTAACATGGAGCTTTAGTGTGATAATTTATTAGCTAGAGAATGATCTTAGAAGAGGGTAGGTAGATAGGCACTACCATTCAAACTGGCGACAACGAAACCTCACCTCCAAGCTCCTCCCCTGAACCTTTCCTTCGACAATGTACCCCTCTAGCCTCAGGTATTCGGCCCAACTCCTACTAGTCATACAAATAAGTGAATTCTGTTAAAAACAATGAACTATGAAATATCGGCTCCGTAAAGCTAACGCGATTGAGCCTTCCAAATAAACGAACTGGATAAAAAAAACTGTTCAAAATTTGAACAAATTTAGTTATAATCTCGATTTGCAGGAGAATTTTAAATTTTGTATGAGAAAATGTATGAGAAAAGGAACGTTTTGAACGAACTTGCCAACAATCCAAATATTGCTCAAATTTCACAAAACCTCTGACTTAGATTAAAATTACTATACAAAACAAGTTTGTTGAAGACTGCACATTGTAGACGAAATACGCGTATCTGTCAAGGATAAACAAATAAAGTATTGGAATTAAATGGAAATTACTAATACTTCTCTCTTTCTTTATATTTAATGGTATTCATTTAAGACGCCGAAACTGCCGGTAATCGCAAGTCAGTCCCATCTGCATTTTTATCAATTTTGAGTTGGCATCATTATTCAGTTTATCTTTCTATGTTTTTTGAGATGTGCTATTGAAAAAAGGTGGTTTGTTCAAGAAAAATGAAAAACAATACCAAGTCAAATTGTCCCACAGCGAAAAGTAACCGCAAGTCAGTCCCATTAGAAAAAAATATGTTAGAAATGTTAGACAACACAACGCATCATGAGATTTGTGTCAAGACAGATTTTGTCCACTTCCCCTATGGTATCTGGAACATGTCCGGATGTGGCGTTCTTACGATACTCAGTTTGACCGCTAATCGATATGGCTTTGAATTATCATGTGATTTGATGTATCGCTTGATGGATTTTTTTTATTATTTAAAACGGATTTACCACTTCCCGGGGATAGCCGGAACATGTCCGGGTGTGGCCAACATGGTGCTGGTCACTCATCATGACTCTTATTGATCTTATTTTTGAATTCTCATGTGAAGTGATTTATCGGATGGTGGGTTTGGCACGTTTATGAAAAGCTCTGGTCTGAGAATACCTGTTTCGGCCATTGCTCTGGAACCAGCGGAATAAATCCAGAAACATTCAATAACGTTCTATAGGACCATGGTATCTTTCTACTGTTCAATACTGTGCTAAAATAATGCAGCATCGTCATGGAATTGTGACTGACTTGCGGTTATTTTTCTCATTCACATTAAATGTAATCGCAAGTCAGTCCCACTCAGAGTTTGGCCATAAAATAAAAATTTCACGATATTTTTCCAATATTTTTGGGTAAACATAGATGCATTCTATCATATTGTACGTTTATTTTTAAATTTATCCCTCCAACATAAGTGTCAAATCAGAAAACTTGAAAAATCTTTGAACGCCGTTTTCTCATTTCCAATTTTTTTTACAGATGGGACTGACTTGCGATTATGGGCAGGAAACTTCTGAGAAAAAAGTTATTATTATATTAATTTAGACCTATTGCTCCGTGCATACAGGGGTGCTTAGATTAGCTGCTAATACCTGTTAACCTGCAAGATACTGTTACAAAATTATAAAAAAAGCGGACGTAAATCCTTTAAACGATGAGATTGCGATTTACTTCTTTATGCAAAAATTTAAATGCATTTTTAAGCACTTACAAATTTGTAGCTTATTGAAAAAATAGAATACTTCAAACAAACAAAAAAGAAAAAAAAACACCTTTTCTAAGGGGGTATTACCAACCGGTAACCGGTGGATTTTAAATTGGCTCACTACTTGACTAGCCTATTGGTCCCAAGCAAATCGATTGACGTACCCCATTGTAGTCAAAATTCTAGAACTACACTATGTTTGTTTTGATTCGCTATGGAGCATGTTTATTCAGGACCTACTAGTCTTAGAGTTAGCTCTATGGTACTACCGTGTGTACTCTATTTATATCCTATAACTTCGTCCACTTGAGCGATAGAAAATGTTCGTCTTCGACAAAGTTTCTTTAAATTAGGTACTTCATCTACAATGATTTCATAGATATTCATCAATTTTAACAAGACAAAAATATATATACATATTCTTTTTTATTTGAGTGTATACCACCAAAAAATTGCTTTTCTCAAATAATGTACTGAAAAAATGAAGAAACATTATAGAAGACATCAAAATGCTACATTCAACAGTTTCGTCGCAATTAACCATGTCCCCCTTTTTTTCAGTCCGTCCCACTGTGCGACGGGAGGATACACCAAACACTGACGCACGGTTGCTATACGAAATGTAGTAACAGAACTCACAACAGATATCAACTCAGGTTATGGAAAGAAAAACAAAAATCAAAAACAACTAATACTAACGAAAAATCGATGTTAGTCACTAAAACAAAAAATTTAATAACACTGAAAGATATGTTCTATCTATGGAAGAAGTTCAGTTGAAGATGAACGCTATGATGAACGTGTTGAATTCTATGATTTTCCGACAACAATGAGTGCAATCATAGAAAAAACGTTCACAATTTTGAAGATGTTCCAAAATCGGGATGAAATCAGAGAAAGATAGATAGAGAGAAAAGAGAACGGCGTACGAACAACTTACTATCTGAAGAAATACAAAAGATAGAGGGACGTATGCGGCAACAACTCTAAATAATAGTACGCAATAATTGGTGCAAATAAAAAAAAAAACTTAAAATACGTGTCTGTTAGTAAGAATGCCAATTGTTTATGTACAGGAGAGGGTGAGTTATTTGTTTTTCATAAAAATTTAGAAAAAGAAGGAAAACGATGCTTACTACTTTGGGTCCGGGGATAAAACAACAAAGCATAACCAGCCATGAACGAAATCAAATCTTGGTTCGTCTTTTGGTCCTAGTGAATAAATCCTATAGCGTGTAGTTTTAATTTGCTGGCTATAAACATTGATTCTTTTTTGTTCTTACTGAAGCGTAACCGTAAACTAGTATGGGTGTTTTGCGTTTTTTTTTTTGCTTTGTAATGAGGGTTTTTTTTGTGTGAGTGTGATTTTGGGTGTAATTTGGCCTAACCGATTCGCTCTACGATTTGGTTCTATGCTTGCTGGCGTGTCGTTTCTTGTGAACGGCTAAAAATGATATAATAAATAAAACTGATTATTTTTCACGATAAAAAGCGAGAAATTCTAATTAAAAGAGGGAGAAAAGTACAAGAAAGTGGAAAATTTCCTTTGATAGGGAACAACTTCAACGACGAGATAGAGAGAGAGTAGCGAGGAAATATTAACTTCAAAAAACAACTCTTGGTAGAACACACCTTTCGGTGGATAGTATTGTTGGCCTCTGCCTTCACCATACCCATGCGCTGGCACTCTGGAACTACTACTGTTGGACGGCCGAGCGGCGCCAGACGAGGATGGGTGCCCACTACGGCGTTCGCCGTGGCCATCACCTCCCCCGCTTGTGCCTCGGCTCCTACCGGCGCCGCCACCGCCGCCCCCACCACTGCGGGACCGATCATTGTGCGGCACAGGAACCGTGCGTGGTCCATGACCATTGTGATGATTACGCTGAAAGGAAGATCAGATTGATATGCTTTCAATAATAGGGCATACCACACACTGCTGCACATACCATTCGTCTTAGGGTGTTCATTGGCCGCCGCAGTGTATCGGTTATCCGTCGTGCCGGTGGTTTCTTCGGGTTCGAACTGGGCGTGTGCACGGCGCAACACTTGATGAACATGCCCATGAAGATCACAAAGATGATGCTAAACAGGCAAACCATGTACCAATTTTCCGTCACCCACTGGGCCACGGTTTGCAGCGTCTGCCTGTTGAACAGCAGATTTTTTAGCTTCACCAGGGGACCCTCCGCGTCGACGGCACGGCATTTTAAAAATACATCACAGTATCCCTAAATGTACGAGGAACAACGACAATCGCAATTAGAATTATTCGACATTTAAATTAAATTGATTTGGTCATACTTGGAAGTTATCACAGGGCGACCCTGGACGTAAACTAATTCCACCATCCGGTAGACCGTAGAGATGAGCAAACTCACTGGTGCTTCGACACGTGTTGGTGTCGTTCCCATTCTGACAGGCAAGCTCGCACAGTTTTCGCTTGTCAATGTTCGGGATAATGTTGGAAGTAAGGAAGCACTCGGACATATTCCACAGGAGGCAGATCGAACCGGCGCATTCACCCTTGATGCACAGTTGTGTTCCTGTTGGGATAAAAGAAACGTTTTAATACCGTTGAAAACTATCGTACCCCGTGCTTCGCCAGTACCGTTATTGCACTTGGTCTTATCGTCACGCGGTTTCGGTTCCGGACACTCGGCCGTCGTTCCGTTGCACGTCGAACTCCAGGAACACTCCGTTTCTTCCTTACAGGTTATATTGGCAAAGTTAGAAACGAACTTGCAAGTATTGCTATCACAGCACGGTCCCTGCGATGGACTGCATTGCGTCCTGGCTCTTCTCGTACAACCCTTAGCCGTAGCATTCAGCCCTAGGTCCACCTCGCTGATAACCCGCGGATAGCAGCACTTGTCGGCACATTCCTCATCGTTGAACCCGCAATCGCATTCCTCTCCAATTTCAACAATCTTATTGCCACAGAAAGCACCCTCCGAGGCTTGGAAGCAATTTCGCTTCTTGCTATCCTCGATCGCATCCAGCACGTTCGAGATGTTCCGTACGGAACAGGTGGAAAATTTACTATTGTTCGGACGATCCCCGCTGGTGGCACTGGCGAACATGATGTAGTTTCCGTTGATGCCCCCAGGGCGGCACTCGGCGGGATAGTCGTGCTGTTGGGAGATTAAAGGCCTGTTATGATTCTTTCTGCTTCAATCAGACTTGATGTCATGCTTACCGGTGAGCCGAAATTGTGGCCAATCTCGTGGGCCAGCGTCAGCTGGGACACCTTCGGTGGGACCCGACTGTTGTAGTTGACAAAGGTGATGATACCCGTGTTCAAGGAACGTTTGGTGCTTTGATACAGCCCGGCGACCGTTTCGGTGTAGGTCTTGTACTTTTCGCAGATGCCCCCGGACGCACCGGACGCGGATGCGACCCACGCCAGACCCAGGGTACCGCCGGTGAAATCTCTGTGGATGGAAAACGGACACATGAACTTTCTGCTCGGCCACAACCGGTAAATTGATCCACTCACCGATAAGTGAACACATAAGCCAGACAGAAAATCTCATGATTTCCCAGCGAGTGAAGATTCAGAAAGTTGGACACATCGATGTTCTCCATGCAGAACGGATTCGATTCCCCGTTGTAGTTTTCGTTACAAGCCGAGTCGTCGTCAATTTTGATTCTCTGAACCTGCAACCAAACAAAAGGAAAACAGTAATTCATCATTCTTGAGTGCCATCCATAATCGCAAGTCAGACTCACCTCGAACCGAATGTTACGATGCTCTATCCGCCCGTCAAACTTGGTATTACGGTAGATGTAGTTGACGGCCGTCACGTGGTGCGCTATTAGCGAGAGGATTTCCTCGCGAGTTTTCTCATCAATCTCGTTCTTGCGGCCTCGGTCGTGCTGGAAGGAGGACATAAGTTGTCAGTAATCGTTAAGCTCTTCATCTTATTTCGTCCAGATGCACACACACACAAACAGGGATTAGCTTGACCACCGCAAGTGATGACTCTGTTAGCAGCAGCAGAGATGCGAAGGAGAAAACAAGTGCAGAGACAAATTGTAGCGGACTTCCCCTCTACAGACTGGTGCACTAACCAACCGCCGAACGGACGGAGGTCCGATAATAAATCACTTTTACGGTTCCTGCGATGCAGACGCCATAAAAAAATATATGTTACAATTTATGGTCCTTAAATCTGCTTCGTTCATTTTCATGAAGGAATAGAGATTTTCGTTTTACTCTAACCCCCACGAAAATGCAAGCCAGAGAGATCTAAATTGGCGTAATTTCTCATCTTCAAGTTCCGAAAAGCTCACGAACACGACGCATTCAATCGTACCGCGTGAGCTTTTCAATGCCACCAGGCGCGGCCTCTAATCGGATCCGGTTATCTACACGCCAAAGGATACACACTTTCCCACCCTTTCATCCCTTTCCCCGCCCCCATTCCGAGCATTTAACGAGCAGCGAAAAAGACCTCCCTGAAATGTGATATGCAAAGCCATCGAGCCGTCATCAGCGTCACCGTGGACAGAGAAAAGCGTTACACGATAGGCCCATTCATTAAAACAAATGAAGGAATTTATCATTATGCTTTCCCAGAAGTGGGATAAATAAATCATGTCGTAATTTATTATCCCTACGGACTATTGCTCGCGAAACGCTAATACTTAGTGAGGGGAGGGGGAAGGAGGCTAGACATGGGGAATATGAAACAGCAAAGATCTCCAGCGAAATTTGAGGGATATTCCGCAGGGGAACCGGATTCCTGGAAAGCGTAAACTGACTGGGCCAGATGTCGAAAGTTCGAGATGCCCCTAGGAGGATGAACATAATAGCACATTCTAGTCTGTTAACGCTGAAACCGGCCGGTATTTGTACGAGGTTCTTAAAAACCTTTTTCTTTTAGTTTCATTCGATAGCTCTAGTTATGAACATAGAAAAATCGATCTACGGTTGTTGAATCAATTATGAGAGTTTAAGAAAATTTGTGTATGAAAAATTTAAAAACTAAATTAACTTAAATTCTTCAGAAAAATCCTCATGTTTACATACCGCAAGAGACGCCAGGACTTTACATTGGCTTACATATTTATATTTATGACGCAAATGTTGAATGGTCGCCATTTAATAAAAAAAAAATGCTGTTTAAATTTTTATAACCGTAACTGTCACCTATTAACAAACTAAAGGGTGTCCACGATGAAATTGCCACACTATGAAATTGCTCTAACTTTTTAACCGTTGGGTAGAATTTAATGAAAATTTGGGTGGATTTAGTTCATAGTGCATTATTTACATCCTGCAAGTTTTAAAGTCCTGTGAACAAAACTCGCGGAAATGGAGTCGAAAGAACAGCTCGTGCGTGATAAAATCTTGCGCATTCATCACGAGAACAAGGATCTCTCGCATCGTTCCATCGCTAAAACGTTGGGAATCGCGAATTCCACGGTGTCGCGAGTGATTAAGCGGTTCGAGGAACGGTTGACCACCGATCGGAAGCCCAGAAGTGAAGGAAAAAGTATTCCGTACAACACCAAAAATCACAACCGCGTAGTTGGGGCCTTCAACCGAAATCCGAACGCCTCCGTTAGGGATGTGGCTAAGAAGCTGCACCTAAGCCGAAGTTTTGTCCAGAAGGCCAAAACTAAGGCTGGGCTTCGAACGTTCAAGGTACAAAAGGCCCCTAATCGCGACGAGAAGCAGAACAAGTCCGCCAAAACCCGTGCCACGAAGTTGTACCTCAACATGCTGACGAAAGTTGAATGCTGCATCATGGACGACGAAACATATGTGAACGCCGACTTCAAACAGATCCCCGGAAACCTGATTTTCACGGCCAAGGATAAGTTCAGCGTTCCGGAGCATGTCCGCACTCAGAAGATGTCCAAATTTGCGAAGAAATTCCTGGTTTGGCAAGCCATCTGCACGTGCGGGAAGCGGAGTGCACCTTTCGTGACCCAGGACACGATGAACGGACAGGTGTACATAAAAGAGTGCCTCCAGAAGCGGCTGCTTCCTCTCCTGAAGGCCCACAACGTCCCAACAATCTTCTGGCCGGATTTGGCCTCATGCCACTACTCCAAGGACGTGCTGAAGTGGTATGCGGACAATAAGGTCAATTTCGTGCCGAAAATGTTCAACCCTCCCAACACTCCGGAGCTCCGCCCCATCGAGAAGTACTGGGCGATTATGAAGCAGCACCTTCTTAAACGACCTAAGGTAGTGAAGACAGTCGAGGAACTGAAGAAAGGATGGGTTTACATGCCAAAAACGGTTGATTCACAGGTTGTGCAGAATCTTATGGCCGGGGTTAAGGCCAAGGTGCGGGCATTTGCGTATGGACTGTAAATAAAATACGAGTAAAATGGTAAAATGAAGTTTAATAGTTATTTCTCAATCCCTGAAAATTTGATGGCAATCGGATGAAAACTCGAATTTTGCGAATCAATTTTGTGTGTGGCAATTTCATCGTGGACACCCTTTAAAACTAAAACTACGATCCTGTTTCTTTGTCTCTGCCACAGACTTGTTAATATTTGGCTGTTAACCGACAGTTAAGTGACTGTCACAGTCAAATTTGACTGTCGACAGACAATATTTTTGAAGTAATTTTTATTGAATGTGACATTTTAGCATTTGTGTATGTGATCACATGCACTGTAACCGCAAAATACCCAATAATGACTATAAAAGGCTCAATATTAACTACAAAGGAAGTATTTTCGAGGGAAACTGGGACTACCCATTAAATAAGTAAACAAAAATACCCATTTATGAATACTTTAACTATTTTGTTTGTATTACTTCTGCGTGAAGTTAACGATTTACATAGTTGAAAATGCTAAGTTTCAAATAACAGACTTAAAGTGTTCATTTTATACGATAGATGAAGAGATAAAAGTATAGAGTTGATAGTTCCGCTAGAGTACGGCATTGTGAAAATAGTATATAGAGAGTAGAAAGCGAGCAAAGGTCAAATTTGAGGAAGGCACGAATCGGGTTGATCATCTCTCTTTACCAAACCGTAAGCTCCACAGAAAATTTGCAGAAACAGACAAATTTGTCTGTAAAGTCAGCAAGAATATTTTATTAGAAAAATTCCTTATTAGAGAGTTGTATAGATTTTTCTCCTTTACTTTATTTAAATCTTTGATTTACCTGTGATCTTGACATTTTTACCTATGGGATGAGTACTTAAGGGGGTTAGATTTTGATAAGTTCTTTAGTGGGAATGACACTGATGAAGATTGCACATTGTAGTCGAAATACGTATCGGTCATTGATACCAAAATTAATTAGGTGGAATTAAAAGGAAGATAACCCTTTTTGCTGTTTTATTCAAGCATTACGCTAACAACCCAATTTCATTACTTTAAGAATTTGTTACCAGACCATGATCACATAATCAGATAATATGTAAACTTTGACTGTACCAGGGTGGTCAGTATTCTTTTTTTAATTCCCAGTTTTTTCCAGGTTTTCTCGGTACAAATCTGAAAATTTAAGTGAACTATCTGCAACTCGATATTGAAGAGAACGTCGAGTTATAGAAATATCGAGTTGTAGAACAACAATCCCATAGGAAATCACCATCACAGTAGCCATAAAAATCATTTTACTATGGTTAAATTACTCGACTGTATTTAGTAAAAAAAACAAAAGGGGTTAAATAATGACATTTGTTTTTAAATCGTTACTACATGCATTTTTTTGACGTAGGACTATTCTATATGGGGGTACACTTTGTGAAAACCGAAAATGGAACATGTAACAAAATTATGAAAGATTTTGAACGCTAATAACTCAACTTCCCCTGGACCAATTTCAATATTTTTATCACCAATCGATCAGATATATTTCTACGCATCTGCCAAATTTAAGACGTTATCATTTTTCAAAATGTCACCTTTGAAAATTGCACGAATGCGCAACTGTTGCTTTGAGCACCGATTGCCTGAGAAAAGTGATTTCCCTAACACAGATTTCAAAATTGAATTCCATCCGGTCTCACCAAACGGTGTTTATTCAATCACAGCGTGGTGAGTGGTGGTATTCTCCAGTATATAACGATGCAACGCAACGAGTTGCAGTCCAAATGAGCATCCAAAGAAAGAATAAGAAGCCGCACCGCTACTGATTGGAATCAGTTGCTCTTCGTGAGTTGCTGTGGGCCAACTATGCCAAGCGCGTCATACTAAAGAGTATAAACAGAGAGAACCTCGCTCAATTGCCTATTCCTACACAAAACACAAGCTCCTGCTGCAGTTAACAAATAAGATTTATTATATAAGACCACGCAGTTCTACGTCACCATTGCGTACAACCCCATAGGGCTGTTCCTTGTAGTTTTTAATTTATTTACACAGTAAAGTACTATAATTTCGTGCACCTAAGTCCTTAAATTTACGCGTTTTTGATAAACTCGAACCAAATTTTTAATGAGGATATTTTGGATTTAGATAGGTATTATTGACTAGTATCTGCAAAACATTTTTTTTTATTAAAATACATTACAAATTGTTGAAAAAAATGCACAGAGTTGGGCAACGCACGACATTACGGCACGGTGGGTGAAACATCTTCAGTTAGAGCAGTTCCAAACTCGATTAGCATAAAACTCAATATGCATAACTATTTGTTATGGGCAGTGATTTAGATATTTGCTTAAATTCGGCCATTTTGCATCTTGTAAAATTTTCAAAATGGTGTCTTTGAAATTCAAAAATTTCATCGCCTATAACAATTAATTACGCAAAGTTCATACCCATCGGAAAAGGTCGATTCCAAAAATCCTTTTTATCACTATTTTGCCTGCACAGTTTTGTTTTCGCCAGCTCGACAATTTATTGCCGAAATTTTCACTGAGACGTCACTTTTGCTGAGATCTCGGTAAAAT